TTCTCAGGATAGAAATGCTTCTTAATTTCATTAGTGAAATCAGCCCAAGTATCAATAAAGACCGTACCTTTGCCTATGTCACCATACTTTTTCCTCCACCATAGCATGGCATGGTCTGTGAGGTAGTGAATCACCGTGCGTATCTTGATGGTCTCGTCTGTCATGCCCATAGCCTCAAAGTATTGCTCCATGCTGAAGAGGAAGTTCTCCAACTCCCTCATTACCCGGTTCCCACCATAGCACTTAGGCTTGGGAATATCAACCCGAGGTGCTACTACCCCCGTAGTAGCTGTGCCGGACACCACCACCCGTTTGCACAATGTCCAGTCCGCTCGCATTTCCTCCATTTGCTCGCGGAAAGTGCCAAGTTCCTGATCAACATAGCCACATAGGGTGGCAAACTCGCCCAACATAACTTCTCGAAGTGCTTGGAGCTCCTGCCGAAAGTCACCACTTAAGGCATTGAGTGACCCTTTGACAGCATTCTGGACCTCAGCGTCCTCCGATTCCAGCCCATCCATGCGCTAGTAAGCATCCTTAAGCTACTCCAACACGTTGGCTATAGACCCCTCCATGTTTGCCATACGTGCCTCTAAGCCCGCCATGATGTCCTTCGACCTAGCCCTCGTCCTCACTCCGACCGGAGGGAGATTTGTTTCCCTTCCACGTGGATCCTCCTCTTGGGTGCCAGTCACATCTGATAGCTCCGCCATAGCTTCCTCCACACAAGGTGTGACGCCTCACGACCTTAGCTCTGATACCAACTGTCACGGACTTGAACCTTTCCAAGCTCCCGTGCGGCCTTAGACACTTTCAAGCCCCCTTGAAGCGCTAAGTCAGCCTACCCGAGTGTGTTAGCTCAGTGAAGACTAAGGCTAGACAAGTGTTTTGCTTACTTAGGTGTGTAGGAAGAGGTTAGGCAAGTGAGCAAGAGAGTTTGGGAATGTATAGAACTTGTATTGCTTGAGAGGAGATATTACAACTTGGTTGCTTGGTGAGGAGCAAATGAACTCCCACCACTTATTTATAGGCCTTTGGCATTACAAGAACATTCTAGATGTATACAAATGTATGGCCTAGATTAAGTGTCTAGAACCCTCCAAAAAAATATCTACACAATTCTTGAACTATGTACAATGTTCAAGACAAGTCTAGAGATTCTATACAACTCTAGACAAGTCTAGAAAAGGCTAGACAACTCCATACTAATCTAGAGAATTCAGGAAAGTTTCGGTCCATGCAGGCTCCATGTCATCGTCTGCTGGGCGTCTGTGTGGCGTAGCCTCTTGGTTGCGGGGCGTGACAATAGGCACCCTTCCCACACACCATCATCATTACACTACGCAGTACACTTAAAGTGCATTACAACTTCCATAGGATGTCTAGCAACGATAAGCTGAATAATGATAAATATCATAAACAGAGCACGAAACCAGAGATGCACAGAACCCACCATTGGACACAATACGTGGACCTTTCGTGGCCTAAACCCAAACAACATCAGCAACCATTCAATTGAGCAATTGTGTTCTAGAGGTACTTCTAGTGGTGACTTTAACGCCACAAACTAGTAACCCAAGGGTTGACCTTGACCCCCGCTGCTGGCACAACGCAATACCACCCAAATCTCGATGACGTTGAAAAAGCGCCGGAATCGGAATCACATCAATCGGCCATGTTTCTGGTAAACCTTCAACAGAGAAAGCATCTGCAGCAACAGCAACCCAAGTGTGAAACTAGCGAACCACCAAAAAACCGTGCAACCACAGCAGGCTAGCGTCAATCTATGGCAGACACCAGTCCATAAAACTAAGTAAGCAGGAAACCACCAACAATGCATCGCCATCAAGACATATGGCCACACCAAACATCCAGTAAGGACTAACAAGATAAAACAGTCCGACAAAACCAAACCATGCCCCATAAGCGATGGCAGCCGAAAGAAACGCATCACTGACCAGATGGAGGCCATACAACAAACATGAACCAATCCGAGAAAGAAAAGCAGTAACACCCAAGCAAGACCCATAGGCCATGGCGACTAGTGGAGCCATCGACACCCAAGACAACACCACATGTAGAGAGAACACAGAACAACACATATAGAAAGTGAGAACAAAAACAAAAACAAGGAATACCATCACTATACCTGGATCAAAGGGGAAAACACTCGACCCGTCACCCCTCCGAAAACTGAAAACCATCCGAACCAACCACTCCCAGCAACGACTGATTGGATGTGGCAGGGAAAACAGCCCAGCGGAACCCATCCACTCGATGAAACGCCAACTCTGATGAACAGAGAGCCTGCAACAGTGGGAAAGGCAAGAACCTCTACAAAGAGAGAGGAACAGGCACTGTCATTACAAGTAGTATGATTAGCTACAGGTTAAGGAAAGATAATGTACATTCAGAACATTTGGATAATTAACAAGCCAGGTCTCTCCCAACTATCAAGACAAACAAGGCTAGTGGAACCTTTTTGGGTTTGGGTGTTTAAGGGTACTAGGTTTGTGTATAATGTCATTTATATGTGAGGGTTAGTTTTGTCTTTTATAATTATAGAATTTTTTTAGGTATTAAATTGTATTAAAAAAATTAAGGGTAAATGGGTCAATTCCCTTGTGTCGGAGTCCAAAAAACAAATCGGGGTTTAAGTAGTCGCTAAAAACCAAATCTCCATCCAGATGAAATATGAGCCAACATCAAGGGGTCTAGGTGAAATTAACCCTATTTATAATCTCGAATTCAAATTGGATTCATTAGCAAGTCTTTTTATAAATTTGAACCCCCCACCCCGCGGGAGAATGTGAGGTAAGAGTCAATCCTTTTTGAGTTTATTGAAATTTATTTACTCACTAAAAAATATATATATATTAAAATTTAAACAAATAAAAATGAATAAGTTGGGTAAATTATAAATTTATTATGTCATAAATTAACTACTTTTCAAATCTCATAAATTAATCGAAACACGAATTTTCATTCTATAATTATTAGGAACTTCCGAAAATTAGGAAAAGGTGTCATGATTTTCATTCTACGCTATTTAGACAAGAGGCAAGCAAATTAAATTTCCTCGATGAATGATGATGATGTTACAAAAGATATATTAGTATAATTTCTATGAAATATAAATAATCCAATTACCAAAAAAATCAGTGATAATAAATAATATAAAGCTTTGGGATAATAAAGATATATTATTAGTGTGACAATCCCTTGATTGCAACCCCTATTGTAGTAATAACGACACTAATTACAAAAACTACAATAATATATATAATAATAATTACTATAAATTCTTATTTCCAAAAGCTCATACAAATGCTATTCTTGGACTGTTGCTATAAATTCTTATTTCCAAAAGAGTAGTTGAGTGTACAAAATATATATAATAAGTGTTTGTGCTTGAACTTAAAAAAAAAAAAACTAATAAATAAAAATAAAAATAAATAATAATAGAAGTAATAATTGTCCTTATCTTATGATAATACAAGTGGAATTGAATTGGGTGGACATATACTTGGTTGGAGTCACACCATTTACCTTCACGCATTATATATATATATTTCTAGTTCTGTTAAAAATTAGCTGTATTCAGTTTTTAGAGATCTTCAATTTTTATAAGAAAATTGAATTAAATAACCTCACACATCAGAGAATTATATTTCACTAAGTTGAAAAAAAAAAAAAAAAAAAAAAACCTATGATTTTTGCATGTACAACAGTATCTTGCCAACAACAATTTTTAGCATGTTTGATTTATTAAAGTTGAATTTACGGTTTATTGTCTACATTTTTGCTTTAGTTATTTATTAAAGTTGAATTTGCACATACATAATACTCCTCTATCCAATTACTAAGTTATTCTCTCAATTCATAAATTTATATTTACTGAGAAAATTTTCAATTTAAAAAAGAAAAAGAAAAAGAAATTGATATGTGAATCTCAATTTCATGAATTCACATGTCATAATATATTAATCATATTATGAGATTTCATATCAATTTCATAACATACAGATCAATTTCATGAATTCACATATCATACGCTATAGATGAGATTTCATGAATAGTCTTATTGTAGTGTCGTATAGTCTTCCTTTCTCTTGGAACTTAAAAGCAGAACATTTATTAATGCTTTCTCGTGAATATCTTTCTTTCTTTTCTTTTCTTTTCTTTTCTTTTCTTTTTTTATAAAGGAATTTCTTTCTTTCTTTCTTTCTTTTTTCCTTGAAAAGAAACATTTTAGAGTTGGGTATCAAATTATTTTGGATGACAATTATCCACATAGTAATTCTTGCACTTTGTTTTGTTTGACAAGTTTAAGAAATTCAGATATGCTCTATATCATTACTCATTTTCTTTTACTTGTTTGGCCACCAAGAAAACGGAGGATACTAAATATTGATATAGAAATATCCCTTTGTTTGGTTACTTGGACTTGGAGAAAGAAAAAAGTCATGTGATTTGGTTTTGGAAAAACAATAATAGTGAACTTATCCTACTTTAGAGTAAAATGCCAACACAAGAGACTGTCTAATACCATCAAAAAAAGTTTGATTACAGTTTTTAGAACAATTTAGCCTGAATTACTTGTGAAGCAGTCATTTAAACCTGAATTACACTCGAGTTGAATCTTAATTAAACCTCTGGTCAAAATTGAAAATTTAAAAAATACTATAAAAAATTACCATTTTATGGGTTGAATACCATAAAACATTAATTTGAATAGGTTTGGTATATTACAAATTTGTCATGCCAAAAAGTTAAATGTTTTTCAATTCTCTGTAATGGCATGCAAGAAAGTATTCTTCTTCTAACGCCCTAAACAACTTGCCTCTTCTGGCCCCCACCTTCTTTCTATTTATTGGGCTGGAGTATAAATGGGCTGCGTCCTCTAACGTGTGCCGTGGGCCACACTATCCCTATGGAAATATTTCCTGCCCTTCATTCTCAATTTGTCATATCATTTTTCCCACGTTTTAAGGCATTAAATTTTTATTTTTATTTTTATTTTTATTTTTTTCTGGTGCTCATCTTCTGATCACATAACGGGAATTGAATTGGGACATTATCTAGTGGCCTAATTGTTATAGGACTCGGCTCCCGAGTAGACTAGCGGTGCCTGGTTTGGAGTAACCCAAATTGGTACCATGCATAAGTAGAAGAAAACATCAAACATTGTTGAAATAATTTTTTTTCTCTTTTTGTAAGTTGGTTGAGAGAATTTGTTTTTTTCATGAAAAACGATATGAAAAAAGTGTTCATGATATTTTTAAGATTCATGCAAAATGTGATATAGACAAGTCTGTATAATCATATATCTGGAGAATTATTAGGTACGGAATTATTGAGTATTTAATGAATCATGAATTTGTAGTTAATTGGAAATATATTATATAATAACCAATAAAAAATATACTTTTGTGTAGAATATACTCCACATATTAACAAAATTAAAAAAAGGATTAAGATATTCAGATTTAATTTCGAGAATTATTGCAATAGATGGAATATGTTTTCCTCTTAAAATTTGAACAATTAGACAATAAGCCTACAGTATTAGATAAGGCAAGTAAACTAAAGTTCCTCCGCGTATGATGATGCAACACAAAAATATTAGCATAATTCCTTCAAAATATAAATATAAATAACCAGGTTACCAAGAGAATCAGTGATTACTAAATATAAAGCTCATATTCTTATAATATTTACAACTATATAAAGCTCATATTCTTATAAAATACAGTAAAAATGAAAAACCGAATCAATTGCTTAGAGTTGAACTGTTGAGCACTGCAGGAGTTTCTGCACTCTCACAAAGATGCATGGCATGCAAAAGGAGGAAAGTATCCATTCCAATACTACCATTTTCAGGTCATCAAATTCACTGGACAATTAAGGTCCCTTCATTTTTCTTTAAACCATGCATGTTTTCAAGTTGCAAAGGGTATGTAAGCATACAGTATACTACCAATCTCAATATATATCTATATCCACCAATCTCTAAATGCAACAAAAAAACGAAAGCCTCTAACATGACTAAAAAACATGAATAAAACGAAGCAGAATTGAAGCTATAAACGAGCAAATTCGCATCAACACAAAACAGCCATTACAAATGCCAAGATTACATACCTCAAGGAAAAGATAGAAAGACCCCGCGCATTTTGCAGCCACAGCCTATCTCGGGAAGCACTAAACCCCTTCACGGACCACAATTTCAGCTCAACAATTTCCATAATACTCCTTTGAAGAGAAACCACATCTATGTAAGAATTAGAGTGGAATCTCTCATTTCTTTACCTCCAAGTGACATTAGACCAGAGCTGCCACACTCAACATGACAGCAATATATTTAAGAGAGTTACACCCACAAGCCTATCGATCCCAGACAACAAAAGCTAAGATTAAGTCCATCCGAAATTACATTTCTCACCAATAAAAACCACATATTTCGTGAATCAGGGTGCATTTGAAGAACATGTGCTTATGGACCATGGTTTTCAATTTTATCTCTACAAAATAATCAGCTCATGCTGTTCAACTTTTTCCCATCTTAAGAAGCTTATCTTGGATGGTTAATCTTAATAGTCATCCAAAGCATGACAGAATGCCAGAGGATGAAGCCTCTGAACCATACAATAAAAGCCCCTCTGTGTCTTAAGAAGCAGGAAGTAGAGGCAATAGAGAAGCAATTACCAGTTGGGATCCGAACAATCCGGTCATTTCTGAAAGTATCGGGAAGAAAATAGATCTCCTAATTCAGGGGGGAAAAAAATCCAATATAATTGTGGAGAAGTGACCCAAGTTAGAGCAAAAGGCCAATTTGAATTTGATTACAGTTTTTTTTTTTCCCTCTAATCTATTGATGACCAACAACCACGTACATTCCCATATCCTTAAGCCCTCGATCATGATCAACCCGATCACAGGTCATGACTAGTCTGTTCAAGTAGAGTGACTCCTTCAATGATCCTAAATTAAATTGAGGAGAGAGGGAGAGGGGCTCAATAATTTCTATAATTTCCACCAATCCGAACAATTATACAATATAAGACAGGCAAGCAAACTAAATTTCCTTCCATGTGATGTAACAAAAATATATTAGTATAATTCATATGAAATATAAATAACCGGGGTCACCAATAAATACAAAACTCGTATTCTTATTAGGGACGGGGTCCCTTGATAATCTTCCTCATTGCAAAAACTGTAGCTATTATAAAAACAGCAAGAACAATGAACCTAATGAACCAAAAGCAGCACAAATGGTAGGATACACCGCACCTACAACGAAGATCTTTAAACTCGCTTCCACACTTGTAGCAAAAGCTGGTCCCACATCTACATCCCAAAACATCGAAATTAAAAAACAGAAAAACAAAATGGAGTTATTCAGATACGCTCCACATTCTAATCATTTTCTTTTACATGTTTGGCCACCAAGAAAACAGAGGAAACTGAAAAATAGGAACTTACCACATATAGAGAGAGGGGAAGAGAGAGTAACCTGCATTTAATCGCTCTGCAACCTGTAAATCGTTCGATACAATGGCCGCAGCGGGGACATCTCTTCCAATTGTTCCTCTCCACAAGCAGTCCAAACTCAACCTCATTCCTATTTCTCATCTCTCCACCCTCTTCACAACGATAGCCGGTGTGCCATGGAATCTTGCAGCGGAAACAAAACAGCCTCTTGCAATTGGGGCATTTTGATCTCTTAACATTTCCCCCACACTCGTTCAGAATCAGAGCCGAGCAATTCTGATTCGGGCAGTAAGATCTGTCAAACCCTAGAACAGCTGATTCGCAGAGCACATCGCACCATTTTTCGAACAGTTTGGTGGGCACGATCGGCCGGCTAGAGAGAGGATCTAACAGCTGTTCACAGTTCAGCGACGGACACGGGACGTCGGCGACGTTTTCGTCCACCTTCACCTGGATGTATTTCATTATGCAATCTGTGCAAAATGGGTGAACGCACCTGTTGTTGTTCTTGAATTTGTTGGTTGATGATGATAACATGGGTTCGATGCATATCTCGCAAGCGAAGGTTGATGATTCGTCGTCTTCTATCGATTCCTCTTCTTCTGGTGGTCTCTCTTGATTTGGCCGGACCATTTGCACTGTGTTTCCCATTTTCTAATGGGTGGACTGAGACTGAGCAGAGTAGATGAAGAGGACTCATATACGTGTCGCTCTCTTATAATGTTGAAAAAAAAAACCTTGACTCTTATAATTATGATTTAAAAATTAAAATTTTTTCTAATTATGATTTATAAAAAGAGAAAAGAAATTAGATTGATTTAGATTGAATTTTTATTTTTGTGGTTGGACCTAAGTTACCAGAGTTGGAGCAAAAGCGAATGTAAGAAGAAAGTGTGTTCGGAACTTGATAGATATACTTATTATGAAAGATTGTGTAATATAAGTGGGAATAAATTAAATTTTGTTTTTTTATAATTATGCTTTGTATACATTATAATAAATAAATAATAAAATTGCAACATACAATCGACTTGTATGTGTGGATCCATGCGTGGTGGTGCTGTGCGAGTGAAAAGGCCCCTCTTTAGTCTTTAATTTGACTCCCTCCTCTAAAAATTTACTTGTTCCAATGAATGTTATAATATTTTTTCAGTCTCTAACATATGTTGAACTTGATATGTGCCTCAATCTCCACTTCTCAATTACTAATTACAACCTGTACTTTGAGTAATTTGCTTTAATTTTAAATACAATCTTTTTCTATAATAATTTAGCTTATATGCTTGACTTCGAGTATCAAACAAGACATCGGTCAAACATACTATTTGGATTACTAAGATCCTAAACTCAGTAAGGCCAAAATATACTGTATTTGTTTCACTTTAATATCTTAGAGAATAGTACTTGGAAAAAGAAAAAAAAAATTCACACAACAACTAAACTAAGTATTATTATTATTATTATATTCTAGTTCTATTAAAACTTAGCTAGAGATATTGAATTTTTTTAAGAGAACTAAACTAAATAATAATCATCATCATCATCATCTACTCTCGAAATTGTGTTTAAAACCCAACAAAAAAATAAAAAACATTTTACATAAAAATATTTTGTTCAAAAAATACTTTACAAAAAAATTATTTGACATCTAAACAAACAAACGGAGCCTTAGTTATGAATGGTGTTTTAAACATAGTAGTACGTTAATAGTCAATGATCATTTAACCAAGTTGTATAGACATAGTTATTTAACCAAGCTTTGAAACACAACCCACAATCTCTGCTACTCCTGGGACCAAAATAAAAAATAAAGTACAACACCTTTTAATGTTTAACAAAAAGACACTCAAATAAAGTTATTTATTTTTTGAATAATAATACCCCTTAAAGATTGAAAAGTGGATAAAGACACTCTTGAAGTCAACTGACATGAAAAATTAACCAAATTGCCCTTTGACGAATTAGTTGACCTTTTTAACTTTACAAGTTAATAAATTGGACGAAATTACCCTTATGAACAAACAGTCACAATGCTAGGAATATAGAGTATAGATTATATATATGTACATATATATATATATGTACACATACATATTCCTGAAACAAATTAATAAATTGGACGAAAGTACCCATGTGTGAATTAATAACAAAATTTTTGGTAAAAAAAAAATACATTTGTTTTCATTCTGCCACAATTTCTCAAAAATAACAAAATTGCATATTTCTTTTGGTGTAATAAATTTTCAATTTCTTTCAAAAAGAAGAAAGTTTGACCAATCTAAAAGGGTGTCTATGAGTGCTACTTATATCTATCAATGTTGTTCAATTTTGCCTTAAATTTGTGAGAGATTATGAATGGGTTATCCAACCTCTGAATGATGTCTTTCAAGAGGTAATTGACGTTATTGAGTGTTACCTCGCTACGTGGCTCACATTGGATTCTCTATTTTAGTTATTTAGTTATTTTTCATTATGTTTTTATGATAAAAACAAAATTGATAACCCCCATTTATTAGGGAAAAAAAAAAAACAAAATTAATTTCATTCGGAGCAATTCACGATTATTAATCTAGCGTCAAGTGGCGTTAATTTGTGCCGCTAAACTTTCAGGGGTAATTGCGTCATTTTGACAGGTCTGATATTTTGCAATAAATTTGAATTTAATATTAAGAGGCAATTTTGTCTTTTCATATGGTTTAAGGCCTTGTTTGGATGAAATTTCTTCAAGGGGATATCATTGTCCAAAAAATTGATAACTTTCATCTGAATGTCCTTTTGACAAATCTTAGGGGTGTTGCTGTATTATACCAAAAAAAATTAAAAAATTGAAATCTATATTAATCCGGCGAGAAAAAAATTTAAACTAAATAATTGGATTGGAGGGGGAAAAAATGCAACTGTCAAGAATTGATATTGTTTTTTATGTGTCCTCTTTTCTTCACAAAAATAAAAAATATTTTTTGTTAATAAAAAATAAAAATATATTATTAAACTTGATTTTAAAGAAAACGAAAATGAGTTGGAAGTTCAAAATCATGAATGGAAGAGAAAGATTGGGCAGAGTAGATATATCCCACTAACTAGACTTGAAGGAAAACAAAGCAAAAAAGGAATATAAGTAATTATAACTAAAGTTGTACATGTTATACAACCAGTATGCACCATTCAAACATTATATCGAACATGTTACGAGCCTTACCTCAATTATTCTTAGTGGAAAATTGAAATAACTTTCTTGGATTCTGTGTGTGAAACATTGTTACTATTGCACAAAAACCTGCAATTCACGTTCATACGATTTGGGAGCTTAATGGACTAAACTCGATCGGAAATCAGAGGTTCTCCGATTGCTTGCCGGAAAGTCCAGATGTCTACACAACGTGTAATTAAGCCAAATTCTTTCTGGCGGTCTTTCGAGTGGCTTAAAGACCGCCAGAAAGAATTTAAACCCACCCTAAGTCCCTGACTTCATCTTCTTTAAAAATAAAAACAAAAAAAAAAGTTTGGTGAATATACCTATTAAGAAAATTAAAGTACGGATTATGAATAGTTGGCCATCAAATAGATCGTACATTCAAAGACAAATAAAACTCCAATACAATAGTGAAGAAGTGCCTAAGTTATAAAAAAAAAAAAAAAACCAAACCAATTAAATTCAAAGGGGCTCAATAATTTCTCTAATTTCAACCAACTTTGTGCATTGAACAATTAAACAATTAGACAAAGCAAACAAACTAAATTTCCTCCATGTATGAGTATATATATATATTAGTACAAGTAATATTCTTATGAGTCGAGTCTCTTGATAATATTTTTCAGGCTAAAAAATGTACCTATTATAAAACCTACAATAATAAAGAACCGCAAGAACCAAACAAAGCACAAGAAGTATGATACACCACACCTACACCGAAGATCTTTAAACTGGCCTCCACACTTGTAGCAAAAGTTGGTCCCACATCTACATCCCAAAACATTAATTAAGAATCAATTCAGATCTGCAACGCATCATAATCATTTTCTTTTTACTTGTTTGGCTACCAAGAAAACTGAGGAAACTGCAAAAAAAGGAACTGCACATATATATGGAGAGAGAGTAACCTGCATTTCACGTGTCGGCAACCTTCACTACGTTGAATACAATGGCCGCAGCGGGGACATCTCTTCCAATTGTTCCTCTCCATAAGCAGTCCGAACTCAACATCATTCCGATTTCTCATATTTCCACTCTCTTCGCATCCATAGCCGGAGTGCCATGGAAGCTTGCAATGGAAACAGAACAGCCTCTTGCAATTGGGGCATTTTGATCTCTTCACATTTCCTCCACACTCGTTCACAATCAGTGCCGAGCAATTCCGATTCGGGCAGTAACATCTTTCAAACCCTAGAACCGCCGATTCGCAGAGCACATCGCACCACTTCTCGAACAGTTTCGGTGGCACGATCGGCCTGCAATTGAGAGGATCTAACAGCTGATCGCAGCTCAGCGCCGGACACGGGACGTTGGCGATGTTGTCGTCCACTTTCACCTCGATGTATTTCGTCATGCAATCCGTGCAGAATGGATGAACACACCTGTTGTTGTTCTTGAATTTCTTGACTGATGATGATAACATGGGTTCGACGCATATCTCACAAGTGAAGGTTGATGTTTCGTCTTCTTTCGATTCCTCTCCTTCTCGAGGTCTCTCTTGGTCTCGCCGGAGCTTTGGCACTGTATTTCCCATATTCTAATTCGGTGGACCGAGAAAATTAGTAGGTCAAGACTACTCACATATTCACATAGGTGGCTCTCTTATTATTCACATATTCACTTATTATGTTTGGTCTACATACACAAGTGGGCCTTTTTGTACAATGACACCCTCTACGAGCAACATCAAGTCTTCGATTGGATGTTATTTGGGTTGTTTTTTTTTTAGATATAGCGTTTAAAATAGACTTTTTAAAATAACATGTCAAATGATGGAGTTGTCAAAATATAACTTTATTAAATGTTGTGTCAAATATAACATAATTTATAATTATTACCAAATTTACAATTACTTTCTTCTTTCTCTATTCTTTCTTGCATGGGCTGCTAATTTGATATTATGCTTATGTATATATATATGTCAGTTGTGCTTGTATATATATATATATATATTAGTAAAAGGCATGTACGAAGCACGTGATGAGTATTTTATAACTAATCGAATTTTTCGTAACTTATAGAATTTTTCGTTTTATATATTTTTTAATTATTTTATAAAAATTATTTTATTTTATTTATATATATCCTTGTCTAATTATATTTTGTTTTATTAAAAAACTCATAATAAATAGGTAAATACAGAAGTTATATGTGATAAAGTTCTATTTTAAAATTAATTAAATTAGTGTTTTATAAAAACTCTTTTAATATATCTTTATTTAATGTGATAGAGTTTTATTGATAATAAATAGGTAATTTGTGGTAGAATTTTTTAGAAATTATTTATTTTCTTTAAATATATATATATCCTTGTTTAATTAGATTTTCTTTTATTAAAAACTGTAATTTGTGTTAAAGTTCAGAAAAATTATTTTATTTTTTATATCAATTAATAAATATTTTTTATATTAATAATTCTATCTAATTAGATTTTCTTTAATTAAAAAACTCATAATAAATAGATAAATCGGTAATTTGGGTTAGAGTTTTATATAAACTCTTTTAAAAATTTATTTTATTTTATTTAAATATATCCTTGTCTAATTAGATTATCTTTTATTAAAAAACTCACAATAAATATATAAATACAGGTTATATGTGACAGAATTTTAAAAAAATAAAATAGATAATTTGTGGTAGATATTATATAAATTATTTTATTTTCGGTAAATATATTCATAATAAATAGATAAATACAGGTTCTTTGTGATAGCGTTTTATATAAAATAAAATAGCTAATTTGTGGTAGAGTTTTATATAAATTATTATTTTTTCTTTAAATATATTCTTGTCTAATTAGATGATACTTTATTAAAAAACTCATAATAAATATATAATGTGATATAGTTTTATAGAAAATACGTTAATTTGTGGTAGATTTTATCGAAATTGTTTTATTTTCTTTAAATATATTATTGTTTAATTATATTTTCTTTTTATTAAAAAAAAACTCATAATAAATATATAAATAGGTAATATGTGTTAGAGTAAATCTTTTCAAAACTCTTTTTATATCAATTAATAAATATTTTTTTATATTAATAATTCTTGTCCAATTAGATTACCTTTTATTAAAAAGAAAAACTCAATATATAAGATAGTTTGTGGTAGAGTTTTAGAAAAATTATTATTTTTATATTAATATTTTTTGTCTAATTAGATTTTTTTTTATTAAAAACTCATAATAAATAAATAAATAGGTAATTTGTGTTAAAGTTTTATATAGAAACTCTTTTAAAAACTCTTTTTAAATCAATTAATAAATATTTTCTTATATTAATAATTATTGTCTAATTAAATTTTATTTTAATAAAAAACTCATAATAAATAGATAAACAGGTAAATTGTGTTAGAATTTTATAGAAACTCTTTTAAAACCTCTTTTTTATATCAATTAATGAATATTTTTTTATATTAATAATCCTCGTATAATTAGGTTTCTTTTATTAAAAAAACTCATAATAAATAGATAAATAGGTAATTTGTGTTATAGTTTTATAGAAACTCTTTAAATATATATTTATCTATTATGATAGAGTTTTATTGGAAAAAAAAAATAGATAATTTGTATTAGAGTTTTATAAAAATTATTTTATTTATTTTTAAATATATCCTTATCTAATTAGATTTTCTTTTATTTTAACTCGAAATAATATATAAATAAATAGGTAATTTGTGTTAGAGTTTTATAGAAACTCTTTAAATATATCCTTATCTGATGTGATAAAATTTTATTAAAAATAAAATAACTAATTTGTGGAAGAATTTTAAAAAAATTATTTTATTTAATTGATAATTAATTTGTGTCAAAGTTAACATATTTGAAATTGAATTATCAATAGCACTCGTAGTATTATTTAATAATATTTCAAAGTTGCAACAAAAAACTTCATGAGATACAGTTTTTCAAGAGAACAATCATTTTCATCGTTTACCATGTCGGTATAAATAAGTATGGAAACTAGGGATGTCAATTTTTACCGCCCCGTTAATAACGGATATGGAAACACTTTTTATACCGTTGGGGCGGGCATAGATACAAATTTTATACCCGTCGCGAGTCACGGGGCGGGTAAGGGTTCAGTATACATATCCTAGGAGCCCCGCCCCGCTAAGCATATAACTATATTATATATATATATATATATATAAACATGGTATTAAATTTGCTTTTGTTTTTGTTATGGTGGAAGTTGGAGTTTAGAACTTCTTGTGATTTGGTTGTATTAAACTTTTATTTTTGTTTATTATGTTCTCTGAATTATGTTATGTGCATATTATTTTTTTTTATTTTTGTTGGGATACATAATTTCATTTATGTTGTGCTATTCCCAGGGTTTCCACATTCAAATAGCAGGAGCTTAAGTTCCAAAAAGTGGGAGAAAAAAAATTGTTAGCGGGGCGGGCACGGGGGCATAGTATTTCCCAACGGGGCGGGGCTGAACATGAAAATCCAACCCGTCGAGGGTCTCGGGACGGGCATGGACTTGACAAAAAATAAAAGGGGGGGGCGCGGGATTTAGGGAAACCCGCTCCAAACCTACCCCGTTGCCATCCCTAATGGAAACCTATCATTTGATACGCCTAGATGTAATGTCTAATCCACTGCCCAACCTTATCACGAGGTAAAAAAAAAAAAGAAAAGAAAAGAAAAGAAAAAAGTATAATTAATTATTTATGCGCCAATTGATTTATTTTAATATTTTATGCATCAATTAATTTATTAAATATTTTATTATGCATTAACATTTTTTTTTTACAAAGCAAAAAAAATTAATTTATTAATTTAAAAAAATCGAGTACAATATGTATGCAACGTGCAACTCTTTTGTTTTTGCCACTGTGCGGTGGACTTTGTTCCACATAAGCATCTTTGTTCCACATAAGTTTGATTCTTATCTTCTGCTCTGCCAATGTCGCTTCGCAAATCCGAATTCAATGAAAATTGCTAATCTGAATTTAAATTGGTGATTCGATCTCCCGACTCTCTCACGGAAATGAGAGAGCAGCAATGATTGCACGAACCTGGCATCTTCTTTCTCGAGGCATGGTCTACTCAACATGAGACCGCTCAATCTCGACACAATTTTTATTGAAGTTGAATTTGAGGATTTTAAATGTACTTATTATTTTCGTCTTTAGAGAATTTGTGGAAGAACAGTACGAGTTGGATGTGCTTGAACTTAAATTATGAGTCTCTGAATTTCTGTCCCTTCGAATTTCTAGAATTCTCAATATTTGTATCCTTTCTCAATGTCTCTATTTATAGGTTGATGACATGTGTGGACATAACTAGGTTGGGCCAGATGAATGTTATTATCTTTTATAATAATAGTATAAATATAGATATAGATTGTGTTACAGTTTTATAGAAACTCTTTTAATAATAATATAGATTTATTAGGAAATTTGTAATTTAAGTTTATAGAAACTCTTATTACATAATCATAACTGGGTCGGGCCGGGCCGGATGAATGTCATTATCTTTTATAATAATAGTATAGATATAGATATAGATTTTGTATTACAATTTTATAAAAACTCTTTTAATAATAGTATAGATTTATTAGGGAATAGTATAGATTTATTAGGGAATTTGTAATTTAAATTTTATTAAGTAATTTAAAAGTCGTGAAATATTGAATTTTTAGAATTTTATATCAATTAATAAATATTTTTTTATATTAATAAATAAATACTGAAACATTGAAACGCTTTATACATTTAATAATAGTATAGATATAGATATAGATAAAAATTTTGTTTTACAGTTTTATAGAAACTCTTTTAATAATAGTATAGATTTATTAGGGAATTTGTAATTTGAATTTATAGAAACTCTTTTTATAATAATATAGATTTATTAGGTAATTTGTAATTTAAATTTTATTAAGTAATTTGAAAGTAGTGAAATATTGAATTTTTAGAGTTAAATATCAATTAATAAATATTTTATATATATTAATAAATAAATACTGAAACACTTTGTACATTTAATAATAGTATAGATATAGATATAGATATAGATATGTCAGTATTGTGTGTGTATATGTCTGTTGTGTGTATATGTGTGTGTGTGTATACATATGGCAGTATTTTTATTATTTATTTTTAATAAGGCAAATAGGCTAAATAAAATACAAACACTCAAAAAAAAAAAAAAAAAAAAAAAAACAATGGTTGTTAAAAATTGTAGTTAGGAATGGTAGTTGAAAAATATTGGTTGTTGTGTCAAAAAATAGCATTTTGGATAAAATGCACTGGAGCAGAATTGCTAAAATATAGTATTTTGACACTGTAACTCATCTCAAAATATAGATTTGGCAAGCAAAAATGATATTTTGCATTATAGATGGTTTAAGTTTGAAAAAATTTGACAGAGAGATTGATAATGGTAAATTGACTTTATTATCCTTTGATATAAAATTAATATTTAAATTGACTTAAATACTTTTGGAACAAACCCTAACCCTGACCCCTCTCAAGGACAACCCATCGGATAACCCTCATTTCTCTCTTTCTCCACACACACACACACACACACACACACACACACATATATATCACCACTACATATACCACCGCCACCACTGCTACCGCATCATCTTCACACCTTA